CCTCTGCAAAAATGTTAGCTTGTTCTTGGGATGTTGTTGCTGATGTGCCGTCTACTTTGGAAACTGGTGGGAACGATGCCTTCCGACTACTTCAGCGAGGGAGCAAGACGAACGGTAGCCATTGGGACAATCTATGAGTTTTGATCTTATTTCGACATTGTATGATTTTTTTATGCATCTATTGTTCGGCTGTAGTCATTTCTTGCTTAGATATATTTTGCTCTAGGCACGAGGTTTGTATCCTTGCGATAGCGATGGTAGGCTGTTTGTTTCAAGGCAACTGCTCTAGAACAGTTCTTGTTGAACCAAAGGTGTCAATTCTAAGCGTGATGATCTCGGATATTTCCACGGCAAACTGTGAAGGATCCTCAGAATCAAAGCATACTCTATGCTAAGGAAACATACTGGGTGTGTGTTGTGAGTATGTGATCAGAATTGCCAAGTGATGCTCGTACATCTATTATGTAAGGTGCTGAATTATTAGTGAGAAATAAGTCGGGCGTGTTGGCTGAATGATTGTCGACATCAGATATTCTGTTCCTTGATAAGCTGCTCTAAACCGTGAGTGATGGTAATAGCTTTGGCTTGTCGCCCAGTTTCATCAGTTTTGTTGGAGTGTACGAGCCAAGTAGTGTTGTGAACATTGAAATCGCCGGATGGTTCTGCTGCATTGGGTCGTGCTCCAAGGACAAGAACTTGCAGAAAGAACTCTTCAAAGAATGGATCATTAGGTGATAAGTAGAGACGACAAAGATATTTGGGCCAAGTATGGCTATATCGAGTTTGATATCACACTTATTTGGTTCCGAAGTTCTTTCTCGATGACATCAGGGATTCGTTCTAGAAAAGAGGCAGATACCTCTCTGGAACGTCAAACGTGTGTGGAGCTCGTACCCAGGACATTGTATATTGGTCGTATTGGTGGATGAATTGACCTGTGTCTCAGTCAGGGCCAATATGTCCGGCTTTTCAGTCTGAAGATGTCGATGGATATCGTTGATGTTCTTGCTTAGACCACGGATGTTACATAAGTCATTTTTACTCGAATCTCACCAGACAAACCAGGTTAACTTTATGATGACGTCACGGTAACTTTATTATGACGTTACGGTTTTTTGTTCATTGTTTGGTTTTGAAATGCATCATCTGTAACAAGAATGAATCAAAGATAAAAATTAGGTACTTATACCTACTTTAAATTCAAGAAAATTGAAACAATTCGCTACGTACATATTCACAATAAATCAAATTTTTTTTTCATCAATAATATTATGAGATCTTCCATTGAAAAATACTTTGTATGAATCCATAATTATCTTTCCAGGAAGTATAATTTTCGTTCTCATCAATTTCATAACCTCAGATTATGACGACATCAAGAGCCCAACAACCCAGTGCCAACTCAAAAGCCTTTAACTACTCCGTGAACTACCATGGTGACATGGTTGGTGTGGTTGGTTAACTATCACGTCATATTTTGAAATACACTTCCAGGAAAATTGACTGGTTAACTTAGTGAGGACCCGGTTGGTGTGGGTAACTTCGAGAAAAAATGGCTTTACCCAGGCCTATCTTGAGGACTTTTTCAGCCGATGTTGAACCCCCTTTAGCACCTCTCGCGTGGGAATCCGAATGGAGAGGTTTTTAACTGCCGGATAATTCTACTTGAGGAGAAGCCATCATCGCTTTTTCTGTACCTGCGTTGAATATCTTCATATTCTTCTATACCTATGTGATGATTGAGTGAATAATAATGATAATAATTATTACTGGGCTGAATAAAGACTATTTCTTTCGAAAGCATGAACGATGATACCAGATACTAGCGTCTATCGACAGGACGCAACAAATAATCCGAGCGAGCCAAGTCAACAGAAAACTTCCAGCCGTGAGCTAAGTTCTTCAAAATCTATTAAGAATAAACACAATGGAAATAGATAGAATTTTCCTCCACTTTTGTGAGGATTTTTTTTCTCAAATCTGTGAAAAAACATAATCTTCTCAAATACAACTGGTCCCTCAAATTTCATCCTATAATTTTTCATTCTCGTTTCTCTAACTTTTTGATTTGAGGCGAAATTCTTCAAAAGAAACCGAATTAGATGGAACGTGACTGAATCAAAGGTTTCTTTTTCATATTTTGCCAATCATTAGGTTTCCGTAGAAAATTCAAGAAATATCCCTCGATAATTATGGATAATTTTGGATGATATCGGTAAAAATTCAGATGAAGAATTATCGAATCAACGATAATATCGATGATATCGAAAATTTTCGGAATTCCTGTCGATTATTAATTGTTATCGGCCACCACTAAAGTCCATTCCAGCAAGGAGGAATGTATGCGAAACCATAGGGAAGCCTCGAGAGAAGCTTTGACATCCGCTTTGATTGGTTAATACTGAAGGTAATAATAATGTAATGACTCACGACGTGGTGTGAAGTTTGAAGTTTTCATCATGGAAGGATGTTCACATCATTGAATTTCTATCAATATAATATGTCTTTTTTTTTTCTTTCAATAAATTTCGAATTCAAAGTGGTAGTCAGTCGCATTAATATTATCATTTAATTGTATTAGTCGTTGTTGGAAGACTTGGAAGACTAGTTTCTATAGTTTCTATCAATATCAGTAGTTTCCATAGATATTGTATATGATAAGTTTCCATAGATATTCAATAATATATATTTGAGGTTGTTATAGAAAAAAAAAAGAGATTGAAAAATAATAAACAACGATTGAAATTAACATCCATTACAATCAATTTTGCGTTTTGGTGAATTTCCTATGCAAATCTAGAATAAACAAGGGCAGAAGCCCAACAGTCGTCATAAATTATTTATTTCGTGAGTGTAAACGTTTTTTCAGAAGCAGCGCCGCCTACTACCTTATTTGGAATATAGTATAGTTTCCTTCCAATCCGTAACACGCATGAAGTTCTTTTACGTATGTCCCAATCATAAAAATAAGAGGTAGTCAGTTAAAATTATCCACAATATCAATAATACCAATAGAGAATCATGATTTCTCGATAATATTGGTAATTTCGATAATATCGATAACGATAATATCGATAATATCGAATGATATCGATGATATCGATGATATCGATGATATCGATGATATCGATGATATCGATGATATCGATGATATCGATGATATCGATGATATCGATGATATCGATGATATCGATGATATCGATGATATCGATGATATCGATGATATCGATGATATCGATGATATCGATGATATCGATGATATCGATGATATCGATGATATCGATGATATCGATGATATCGATAATATTGATAATATCGATATATCAATAATATCGAATATGTCGATGAAATCGATAACATATCGGATCTCCTTTGATCAAGTTGTCTCGAGTGATTGCGATAATGACGTCAATTGCTACTTTTGTACCTCTTTATTGATCTTTGCTCAATAACGAACCCACCATAATGGAATGTCTTGCCCAAAAACAGTTATTCCATGAACTATGGATTCCGTGTTCCGTTGTTATAGGTAATGAAAGGTTCGAGTATATTCGATTCCTCATTTGATGCTGGCCCTAGACCAAAGTCACATAACACGGGGGTCCGGTGCACCGCAGGGGTCCAATTACGAGCCCATTCTTCGCCGACCCCTGGTGCCAGCTGGCCCTCGGATATGGACGCTCAATAACCTATTATTTTCAACTTAACACTTGGGCACATCGGTTCGCGTATTCTTATTCGAATTAATTATGCTTTATTATGATTTATGGCCTATTTCATATGCGCTGGATTTATTGATTACGGAATGAATCGACCGCTATCATTTGTCAGGTGAATTGAGATTGATCATGGTTGTTTTTATGAAGACAACAAAACTGTTTATTTGACGATGTTATTTTACTTGTTTGAATTCAGAATTCAGAGAGAATGGACCTTGTAAAATAGAATCTCGGCCATATATTATACAATCGATTCCAACATTTCATACCCTCATTCTCTGGGATAAGTGCTGCCCCAACGGTCTTCTGAATGAATCTCCTTCAGTATTTCAAATCTACAACAGTTTTCTTAATTAAATTGTTGTTCTGAATAAAAACCTAGCACCTAGACATTATATATTTTCTGTTCATTGCAAAAAAACTGCAGAAATTGCCTTAATCGAAGATATTTTCGATAAAGACACTCAATTACCAAATATATTCAACCTAACACTAGTGCTCATCGGGCCGTGTATTCTTATTCGAATTAAGTATGATACTTCATTATGATTTATGGGCTACTTCGTATGAGCTGGATTTATTGATTTAAATGAATAGACCGCTATCATTTGTCAGGTGAATTGAGATTGATCACGGTTGTTTTTATCAAGACACCAGAACTGTTCATATGACGATGTTATTTCACTTGTTTGAATTCAGAATTCAGAGAAAATGGACCTTGTAACATAGAATCTTGACCATATATATTGTACAATCGATTCCAACATTTCGAACACTCATTCTCTGGGATAAGTGCTGCCCCAACGATCATCTGAATGAATCTTCTCAAGTATTCCAAATTGTTTTTGAATAAAATCCTAGCTTCTAGACATGATATATTCTCTGCTCATTGCAAAACACTGAAATTGCATTTATCGACGATATTTTCAATGAAGACGCTCAATAAACTGATATATTCAACCAAACACTTGTGCACATGGGTCCGCGTATTCTTATTCGAATCAATTATGATACTTTATATGAATCATGGCCTATTTCGTATGAGCTGGATTTATTGATTACGAAATGAATCGACCGCTATCATCTGTCAGGTGAGTCGAGATTGATCACGGTTGTTTTCATCGACAGATCAAAACGATTTATTTGACAAAATTATTTCACTAAATCAAATTGGGAATTCTGTTCTATATGCTGAAAGTAGCATAAAGTAAACCTTCCCAACGTGTCATTTGTTCTATATGCTACTTTTATGATATAGAACAAATAAGACTACGGGAAGGTTATTTATCAAAAATGAAGATAGTGAACTTCTAAATTCAAAAGATCTGACCCATTTCCAACTTTGGCTACTTCATCAGAATTCGGATTGATGTTCTTGATGATCCAATCGTTGGATTGGGTCAGTCTGGTGAAGACTGTTGGCATGCCCATAGTGCAGTTATTCAGACCAAAAGTCACCATCATAAATCACGTGGAATTCGAGTACTGTGCTACTGTGGAAATCGAGTTTCGTTAGACAGTTGTACTCTGATCTTTTGTCTTGAACGTGTGATTTATTCAAATGATATTGACTATTATGGATATCACTTTCAAAAAAGTAGATTAACAATAAAGGAGATAAAAGCAAAAATGGCATCAACGAATCTGACAACGATATCGCCAACATTGGCTACTTCATCAGAATTCGAATTGATGTTCTTGATGATCCAATCGTTGAATTGGTTCAGTCTGGTGAATACAGTTGGCATGCCCATAGTGCAGCTATTCACAATAAAAGAGGCTACGCCTATTTGGGTGCCGTTCACCAGCAAAGGCCCCCCTGAATCGCCCCCACAGCCGCCCTTTGGGCCTGCTCCTGATACGCAAACATGGCTCTGCTTTACCTTAAAAAAGTACCAATGATAATTATTATTGTTTTATTAAGTGCGTGAAATGAGTGTTTTTTTATGGCCGTGTCTAGAACCACGCTAACGTGGATTCAATTCCAGGACGTCAAGGTTTCGCATGGAATTTTTCCTCTAGAATTATTTACTGATACGATGAACTAAACCGACCTTGGCTTGCTTATAACTTTCATATATCCTACTCTCCCAACTTGAAGGATTTTTTACCTGTGGACAGGTTCGATAAATCCCCATTTTTGGAAATTAGGCACATTAGGTATTCAAACTCAACTGTGGATCTTGTCCTGAAGTGTATATCGGTCAGACAGGTCGTACGTTCAATCAGCGCATTCATGAACATAAGATGAATTCTTTGTAACAGAAAATAAATTCAACATTCGCCAACCATATATTGAAAGAAAACCATAGTTCTGATGATAATTTCTTGATTCTACATGTAGAAAATAAAGGAATGAAACTCAATCATTTTGAATCATTAGAAATCAACAAACTCAAACAATTTTCATTTCAGTAATCGATCAATAAGGCGTCAATAGTTTACCACTGTTGATTTTGTTTTCTTAGTACATGATAATATGTATTTGCTATCAACCCAATCAAGTTAATCCGGTAGAAGGTTTATCAATCATGTCCTTCAAGTTGGGAAAGAAGGATATATAAAAGTCAAGCAAGTCAAGGTTGGTCTAGTTCATTGTACCAGTATATCACCTGACGAAGCTACTGTGTTAGCGAAACATGTTGTGTGTTCAAGAATTTTGTGGTAATCTTATCTTTTGTGAAGTTTTACTCATATATACGAAAAAGCAAAGGGGCACAGAAGATTCTTCTCTTCTGTTCGTTTGAAAATGTTTCCATTCTATATTTTCCTAATTCAGATTCAGATTTTGAATAATGAATTGGATTCAAGAGAGCAAGTATTCGTAACTGCCGTGTTGTCTAGATTGTCGTCCTGTACAGGGTGGCTGGAATTCGAGCCTCATCAAGGGACCAAAACGAACGGGAGCCTTTGGGACAATCAATGAGTTTCGATCTTATCTTAGCATTGTATGTTTGTTTCGAAGCATCTATTGTTTGGCTGCAGTTATTCCTGGCCTCAACGTATTCTGCTCTAGTCGCGAGGTTAGGTTTTTTGCGCCAGCGATGGTAGGCTGCCTGTTTCAAGGCAACAGTTCTAGAACAGTTTTTGTTGAACCAGGGTTTCGATGGTGATGATCTTTTCGAAGAATGAGGTATGTATGTGTCTATTCCGAGCATGATGATCTCGGATATTTCCGCAGCACACTGTGAAGGGTCCTCAAAGTCAAAGCATACCTTATGCCAAGGAAACTCGGAGAAAAACATGCGGAGACCGTCCCAATCTCCTGAATTGTAATGCTATATAAGACGTGAGCGTGCCGGAGCAGTTGATGGAATGAAGAATGGGCAGGTTGTGGTGATAAGTGTGTGGTCAGAATTGCCAAGTGGAGCTCGTACATCTATGGTGTAGGGTGCTGAATTATTAGTGAGGAACAAGTCAAGGAGGATTCGAAGAGCTCTTCATAGGATGGATCGTTAGGTGATAAGTAGTCTGTTTCTGGCTTTCGAGTTTGAACCACATGACATCAAACTTATTGGGTTCCAAAGTTTTTTCTCGTTGACATGAGAGATCCGTTTTAGAGTAGAGGCAGTGGCCTCCCTTGAATCTGAAACGTGTGTGGAGTTCGTACCCAGGACAGAGCAGATAGGTCGTATTGGTGGATGAATTGACCTGTGTGTCAGTAAGAGCCAATATGTCTGATGGCTTTTTAATTTGAAGGTGTCGATAGACATCTATGATGTTCTTACTTAGACCTCGGATGTCACGTAGGTCTATCTTGGGGACTTTTTCAGTCGATGGTGAACCCCCTCTAGCACCTCTCGCCCAGAAATCCGAATGGAGAGGTATTTTACATCCGGATAATTTTACTTGAGGGGAACTCATCATCGCTTATTCTGTGAAGGGAAGGGAGGTTGGCGTGGAAGGAAAAGGAAATTGGGTTCGGTTGGGTTGGCCGCAACATCAATCATCAGCTACTGAAACACGGGTAAGTATACCCATTTCACAGTGCCTATGGTTGATGTGGTGGTATCGCACCGGGCGATGACGTTAACCATCTTCCACCTAATGGCGTCCTTTTAGTCGCCTTCTATGACAGGCAGGACTTACCGTGGGGTTATTCTAATCCGACCACCACACGGTTGAATGATGGAACACGTCTTTGGGACGGAAGATGTCTGACAAATGCTCACAGAGGGAAAAAATCTGCAAAATATCGAATCACGATGAGTAAAATCGCCAAATGTTATTTTCGTGGCAGGCTGACATCTGTATTATTGGTAGTCAAAGGATTTCAATGTGCTGCGTCTTATCGAAAATGTGTGAAGTTAATTGGATTTATTGTAATGATAGCAAGGAATATCTCAGCACAAATTCTTATAGCAAAGTTTTTCTCAGTGTAGATCCACGTAGGCCTGGTTTTAGACACGGCTTTCTTTGATAGCACATGAGATAGTTAATTTTCTCTCACGTGCCATGGACACACGAATATTATACAAGAAATACAAACAACATTTTTTGTACAACTGTGAATGTGAATTCAAATCGTCTGATGAAATATATTGAAAATTAATAGTTCAAATACATCTTGACGTGGTTTTATGTTGCGATGAAATATCGCACAATTTTACAGCATCCTGTGGTATTTCTGGGTCGTTACTATAAGTTTGTTCGCAGTGACTTTAATAACTATACAATATTGTACACCAGAGTATAGATTGTGTAGCACTGATACCGTTTGGTGTTATATGGTGCATACTTACACTGTATCCGTTGTCAAAATATTGAACCACAACAATTGGACTTCAAAAGCCAAAACAGAGTGTTATTGCACTTGATCTGGATGGAGCATAAACAACAATTTCGGTTTTGAATGTTTTGTATATCATGCCATCATTCAATTCTCAGATAGTTCATCCGACTACTGATAAAACATATGTTATTGATTGATCTTCGTTAAAAGAATTGTAATTGATTCACTATCTGTATTCAAGGAACTGTGAATGATTTCATCATGACTCATTGATGCATTACTGCCCATTTTTTTCAAAGTTCAAAGAGTTTTTACAAGCAACGAACAGTATACAGGGTGTGTGTCATAAAATCATAAATAAATCCCTTTGAATCGATTGATGCTCTGCTCAATATCACGAATCGATTTCGTGATTTTTCAGATAACGCGATCCAGGGGGAGGCGCAAGGGGGCCATTCTGGATTTTTTGGACCTCAATAACGATGCTACAATGGTTTTAAGACATTCCTGAGTTGACATGGAGTCAAGAAACCTATTTATCACAAAGTTTTCCATCGCGTAATCGGAAATCAATTGAATAAGTCGATTTATTTCTTCTTATCAACACTTATCTACGCAAATAATACCACTGCAACACCCAATATAATGTCGAACCTTTGACAACTGTCATCATCCTACAACAATATCTGTATGTTCAGATTGAACCAAACGAAAGATTTCGAACTTTGAGTGCATTGAACATCATTATTTCTCGAACAAGTTTTCATTTCTGAAATTGAAAGAACCTGATGATAATCATTACATATTCAATATTTTGTTGGTCCACCTCGTGTATTCAGTGAATATTGACATCTTCGAGGCATTGATTCTATCAAGGATCGAAGGAAATCTTGTGGAATTCTGGTTCATTCATCACGAATTATGATTTCTAAATGATCCATTTTACCTGGAATTCGTTGCCTTTGTCTTATATAGAGCTTCAATCGAAAGGGGACATTATTTTGGGTGTTGCAATTGTATTGATTGCGTGAATGAGTGTTGATTACAGGAAAGCGACTTTTTCGAATGATTTTCGGTTACGCAATGAAACACCTTGTGATAAATAGGTTTCTTGGCTTCATGCCAGCTCAGGAATGCCTTAAAACCATTGTAGCATCGTTATTGTATGCATTGGTCAGAAAAATCCAGAAAGGCCTCCTTGCGCCCCCTTGGATTGCCCTACCTGAAAAATCACGAAATCAATTCGAGAAATTGAGCAGAGCAATCGATCCAAATGAAGGATTTGTGTTTAGCATAGCATATGGTTATGGCAGCACCAAACTAAACAGATGATTTCACCAAATTCTGAACATTTTTCCAAAAAAATTCATTTTTCTTCTGTTGAAGTTGTCGATGATTTCAACGCAATATGAATCCATTTTCTAGGATGTGTTCCATCGTATAGAGTGGCAAAATGTTTTGGATGTCGCTTGCATTATTTTAAAATCGGAAATAATGCGATAAAAACCTGAAAAATGGAAAATTATCGATTTTCAACATCCTGGAACAGGAATATGGAAAATTACAAAATCGTTTCGAGATATTGGCTCGAACGTTCGGAAAAAAAGATTTATAAAAAAATAAAAAAAAATCACTGGAATACGGAAGCGTTTGAATCTTTTAATTTTGGTAATACTTTTTTCGAACACCAGGTGTATAATGACAGAAAAACTCCCGACGAGTTTTGAACCAGGAGCCTTGAACAGAAAGATCGCATCTTTCAAGCACTGTATTCCGATTGAAAATCCATTCATTTTCTAAAAAGATATGGCAGTTTGAGAATTGTCAAATATTTCAGTAGTCCACTTGTTTCTTTGAGCACTTTAGTATGGACCATATTGTTTTGATTGATCAAGAAATATGTCTTTGCGAAAGTCATGGTAAATTGAATTCTTGCTCTAATTAGCACATAACAGTGACAGCTCTCCTATGATTTGTTCAGTGACATTTCTAGAATTAATAACAATCACATTGTTTCAAACATGTCTCATACTTCAAAAATACGCATCGGTATCTCAATTAACTCGATATGAACACCTGGAAGGGATCTATTTTGAGCCTGATTTCTAGGAGTACCTATTTTTCCATGAACATTTCACTAAATAAAAAGTGAATAAAAGTACAATGTAAGGACGAATTTTTTCATTATAGATGAATATTTGCGTCGCCCAGAATGTACACCTCCATTTTTTCTTTTCTGGAGAAGGAGAATCTCCAAAGGCATATCTGAAGAGCTCTAGAGTTTAAAAATTTGAACATTTAGTTTTTACCTACAAAATATTTTTTTAGTACCTCATCAAACTTGTCATTCTCCGCTACACTTTCTGTTTCAGTGTTTTCAATTTTTTTTTGCAATAGAATAGGCCTTCTCGAATGACACAGTTAGTGGGTTTCATTATCAATAAACTTCGAATCTTGGGAGCTGGAAGTTGTAGGCAAATCAATGTCCATATGAAAAACATTGTCCTTAGAATTCAAGTTATTAACATCCACAGACACATTCTGAAAATAAATTACTATAGTTTTTCTAAGAATCTGAAAAATTTTCAACTTATCCATGGAGGTCAATTTCCTGTTTGTCTTGCTTGTTTTGCATCTGAAAGCAACAAAATATAAATAACCATTGTTTATTCATTCGAAATCACAAATCTTTTCAACAATAACCAATTCACACAAAAAATTCAGATGAAAAAAGAGATCTTAAGTACTCCAATCATTGGATGGAAGAAAATTCACACACCAATTCGCCATTAAACAACACGAGTGGGAAAGAGACAGGTTACCGTAACACAAGCTATCTTTGTTGCAGCTGCCCATGATTGATTGATAATATATTACGCCCTGACACACTCTGTGCTATTCGAGAAACCGAAAGTCTCCCTTCCAGGTGTTTATATTGAGTTCATTGCGGTATATATGTGTGTATATTGCATAATATCATTGACAATAATGACAGTTTTTCTGTACCCCAGTAAAATTTCACTATTCGCGAAAATCACGAACCACCTTCATTGCAAATTGGTTATTTCCAAATCATTTTGCAAAATAGTGAATAATAAGTTGACTTCTTGAAATACGTACAAGGCTTCCAGTATGGGAAAAATTACTTTTTGTGCAGAGAAATTGCCATTTTGATGTGGACAATGGTGGTATGCATCATTGATATCACACTACAATCCCACAGTTTTCAAACATATGGAATGATCGGAATGATCCACTCAACACTTGCATGGACTGGAATGGAACCATACAAGCAATCAGCTATTACAACAATATGGTATAAGTATGAAGAAATAATTGAATTCATCAAGAAATATCACTGGCTTTTATGAAGGAAATGGAATTCTAGTGAAGGGGTTGGAAAAGAAGATATGGTTGGAGAGGCTGCTCAGAATGAACAATATCATCGATTTACATAAACAAGGAACTCCAGCAATTGAGGACTTGGTTATCCTCAAGATCGAATCATTGCAACCAACATTTATACAATTATTCTAATTGTGTTTCAGAAAATGTATATTATAAGTTAGGTACTGGTTTCTTCATTGTAAAAAATAAAAGTTCATGTAATAATTCGAGTTTTTTCATCAGGGAGAAATGAGGTTCTGGAATATGCACTTCAACAAATAAATTATTTTCCAATGAAACACATTTATAAAATTCAAAACAATGGTCGCCATATTTGTTGTTCATACTCGCAAGACTTGTACAGTTAGCCACCAGAGGCCGCACACTTCGTGATTTTCGCGAATCAATTCATCATTATCCTCGAATAATTGCGATTTCTCAGGTTAGTGGTGAAAAAAAAAAGTTTTACTAGGTGAAAAGAAGTTAAACATTCTCGCATCAATAGAGATGCAGGAATGTCAAGATTCTTAGACAGTTGTACAAAAAACAATATACAATTAGTTAGTTTTGTGGCCTTACTGCCTGAATTAGGACTGGACTCGTCCATTTGCAAGCTCTGTTCGACATAACTTTTACAGTTACGCTTTTGAGCGTTTTGGGAAGTGTTCCATCATCAGTGGTTCCCCATCCCAGGATAGTACCCATTTCTCCAGCATAATTGTTCTTTCCGTTAGATATTGGAACAACGTTCACGTATTCGTTCAGAATAGCGTTCTCAGGCAATTTGATTAGGGCTATGTCGTTCAACTTTAATCTATTATTGTATCTAGGGTGCTTTCTGTAGGATGTCGATCGAAACTTCTGGATTGTATCTTGTGCTCCTAAGTTTGTGAGGTTATGTGCCCCCAGAATGATGTCGATGACCATGTTATTACTGAAAAATGTTACAATTATTATTTATATGGTTTTTAAATAGTGATTGTCATGATACGAGAGGTGCTTCAAGGTTATATGCTTGGCCCTACTATGACGTTGCTCTATATACAGGAAGATCCACGGTGGATGGCCTATTAGGAGTATCTGAAGAACGAAAAAACAGAACATTCTGAAAATTTGTATGCTCCGATAATTGAACATTCTCTATCCGTCTAAAATATTTTCATTGATACAGTGTTGCCACTTCTATCAGAAACAACTAGCAACTTTGTTATTTCAAATGAAACACCCTGTATTTTATTGCATTTTTTAATTATTTCTGAAGAGCTGATTTCATCAATGCATCACACTCGGGGTCTAGCAGTAATGATTACAGAGATATAGGGTGTTCAAAATCGAGAATTTTCAATTTTAGGAATTTTTTGTGTCGATACTATTCATTATCGATCAAAACGGCTTATATTTTCATTCAAATGTCACAATATATTGTACAGGGTGAGCGATGCACAATGTCTTAACACTATCAGAAGAAGAAGAAAAACGATAGGGAAGATTCGAAAAGAGGTTCTTGAATGGTATTGACTAACCTAAGGTCCATTTTGAGCATAATTTCCATGGGTTCCAATTTTACCATTAGGTCACTGCCTTCAAACATATCCCCATTAGAAATTAAAAAAATTGAATTCTCAATACAATATCTTCCTCCAATGGAACAGTTTGGGTTTCTTTATTGATGAACTTCCAAACTTGGGAGCTGGAAATCATAGGTAAAGTCCATAATATGAGAAACATCTTCCTTAGAACCCAATATGTTATGAACTTCCTTTCTGAAAATAAGTTACTAGCTAGTTTTTTATTTCAAAGAGGTGCAAACATACTTCTTTTTCATTATTAATCAACTAGGTACAGTCGCATTCAAAAAAAAGCTTTCAAGTATATTACAGAGAGAAATTAACGTCATCCTATGCTGCATAAAACAGGCTATCGGGAATGATTGTTCACCAAATGTTGACAGTAAAGTTGTCATAGGTTCGCGAAAACACAAAGCATTGGCTGAGCCAGTTTTACACAACTTGAACTAGGATCCCAAAATCCTCTCTTTTTAATACTTGTTCGCCTTTTTATTGAATACCTATGAGTTTTCTCATTTTTCTTCAAGGATCAGTATTTTTTGGTAACAAATGCTTAGGAAATGGAAATATACTGGGTACAGCATCTGGTTTCAATAACCTAGCAGTAACTCACATCTTCACATCTATACCATATGAAACAGTAGACAAAATCTCAACCAGTAATCATTCATATGATTATTATATGCGGAATACAATATCTCCCAGTAATTCACTCTTTCTCAACCCTTTCACAGAACAAGAAATGCATGACATGTTGAGAAAAAAACTCAAAAATAAATACTCATCAGGTTTCGATGAAGTTCCTATGTTTATCTTGAAAAAAACACTTCATATCATGGCCATTCCGTTCACTCATCTTGTTAATTTATCATTTATACAAGGAAAGTTTCCAGATGTATTGAAAACTGGAAAGATAACCCCCATCTTCAAGAAAGGTAATCCTCAACTTCTTTCCAATTACCGACCCATTACAGTGCCATCAAACTTTTCCAAAATATTTGAGTATGCCTACCTGGATAGACTCATGGTTCACTGTTATCGACATAATATATTTTCGAGAAATCAGCATGGCTTTCTTAGCAAAAAATCTACAATGACAGCAGTACATTCCTATTATGAAAAACTTGTGGAAAACATTGAGGCAGGCGAATGTCCTGTTGGGATATTTTGCGATCTCAGCAGGGCTTTCGACTGCGTCAATCATCATATATTACTTACAAAATTATACAGGTATGGTATAAGAGGAAATTCACATCAATGGATATCAAGTTACCTGTCACTAAGACAACAGTATGTAGTACTGAATAACACGGCATCGTACCGCTCGGATATTAACATTGGTGTGCCACAAGGCTCGGTATTGGGGCCAATACTTTTTATAATGTATATCAATGACCTGGATAAATTGCCAATACAAGGATCGATCACTATATATGCAGATGACACATCAATGATAATATCCGACAAAAGCAATCTTGAACTTGCTACCAAATGTAATCAAGCTTTGCGATTGGTCAACGACTGGACCAGAGCAAATGGACTATTTCTCAATGACAAGAAAACGAATGCAATTAGATTTCACAATCGCCAAAAAAATTGTGATAAGATCATTTTACAAGTCAATGAATCTTCAGATCCAATTTCTACAGACACAAATGATGTGAAATTTCTGGGGCTATATATCGACGAATGTCTTGATTGGCATAAAAACTCTGAAACATTGAAATCTAAACTCAACTCATTTTCATATCAATTCAGAAATCTGAAAAATGTTCTCAACAGGGTACAGTTATTGAATTTATATTATTGTCAGATTGACAGCCGACTTCGTTACGGCATTTGCTTTTGGGGTCTATCCAGTTCCGCACAAGATATTTTTATTGCGCAAAAACGCGTTGTTCGTTCTTTAGTAGGTGTGTCCAACAGAACAACATGTCGTGACATTTTTAGGGACCTGAAAATTCTGACACTACCGTCATTACTAATTCTAGAATCGTGTCTATATGTATTTCACAATAAAGAAAACTTTCACACGAACATTTCCCGCCACGGAGTAAATACTAGACAAAAATATGATTTTTATATCCCTTTCAGTAGGATGAATGTAACGAAAAATTCGCCCAATATCATGGCAGCGAAAATTTTTAACGCTCTACCTAATGAGATCAAACTATGTAAGACCTTAAATTGTTTCAAAAGATCCCTTAGAGTGTTTTTAGAGGAACATTCGTATTATTCTGTCGATGAATATTTTTCTCAAGTATTTTAATTCAAATCTTACGTTTTATACATACTGTTTTTCTTTTTGATTTTAATTATTACCTACTATCATATCATACTTATCAAGTGTAATATTATTTTACTATTGTTGTTTTACCTGTACTATTGTATTATCCATATTCATTTTTGTGTTGTTTTGTATTGTATTGTCTTTAGATATAAGTTTACCCATTTGACTATTCCTATACAATTTTTTTGCAATTGTCTACTGGAAAATTGAATAAATAAATAAATAAATAAATAAATAAACTGGTATGTCTAAATGAATAATCAGTTGGCAGGACATGCTCTCCAGAAAGCTTGCTGGTTTTAGATGGAGTCCAACTCTCTCTACGAACTGCCTCAATCCATAATTCAAGAATGTCTGAATGGAAAACTGCATTTTCTCTAGAAAGGCGAAACTCAGTATGCCCGATATTGTAATGTCTGGCTCCACCATCCCCACCAAGCCCACCATATCTATGCTCGGTATTTCCATCAGCAACACTCTTTCATGGGATAATCATGTCAGATCCATCGCAAAAGCTGCTTCACAAAAACTCGGATTCTTGTTCCGTGCGAAAAGCTATTTTACACCTCAACAGCTTCTCATGATCTACAAAGCGCAGATACGGCCTGTTCTAGAATACTGTTTCCACATATGGGGTTCAGCACCAAAACATACGCTGATGCTCTTAGATTCCATCCAGAGAACACCGTAGAAAGGTCGGCGACCTTCACTTTTCTATCGATACTTCCACGGGAAATGTTCTTCGGAAATCTCTGCTATCATCCCTTCACTAGCAGTCAGCACATCCTTTCGTTGTCAACCTCGAAAGATGTCGAACAGCACTTTATCAAGACTCCTTCATCCATAGAACGGCTAGGCTCTGGAATTCATTGCCTGTGGAAGTATTCCCAACAACATATAATCTCCAAAAGTTCAAAAAAATTCCAATACCTACCTCCTGTCCCTATCCTCCCTAGGAACGCACGGTGTTCTTTGAACATTATAGGGATTCCCTTTCGTGCGCTTCAAGCGATAAAAAAAAATATATTACTCAATATGTTCATGGAGAAGTCATGGAGGTATTCGACTTTGACAAATAATATAGGTATAGTTTTAGAACATAATCTGAGACTGAAAACATTGTACATCTAACTGATCATTTCAAGAACTATATTTTCCAAAAATCTGAACAATATTCAACATACCCATGGAATGACAATTTCCTTTTGTCTTGCTCGTTCTTGCATCCAAAGGCGACACAATAAATCACCATCGTTTATCAAAACCTTCTCAACAATCAGTTCACAGTGTTCACTGAATTCAGCCTTTTTTATAAAACAAAACACGTCAAATGAATAGATATTTCACATAAACAAAGACAATGAACTTATGTCTTCACTTTCTTGCCTGTTTAGATGAGAGAAAAAAATTTGATGTACTTCAATTATTAGATAAAAGAAAACATAAACAACAATCCATTGAACAAAACGAGTTGGAAAGAGACAGGTTACCGTAAATCATGCTATCTTTGTTGCAGCTGCCCCTGACACACTTTGTGCTATTCGAGAGAACGTCCGTCTCTCTTCCAGTTGTTTATATTGAGTTCATCGCTCTAGTTTGAACTAGAGTCCCTGTATACAGGGTGTAAATTTGAAAACTTCCAATGCGACTATTTTGCGAAAGAAAAAAGTTAGAAAAACGCCGTTTGGCAAAAATGCTAAAGAGTTAAGGGGAACTAGAACCACCATATTTCGGTCAAGGGATGAGTCACCCCATCGGCGCGACACACCCCAACTTTGAAATGTCAAATGGCACTACCTTTTTTGTGATGCCTCAAATGAACAGTCTCAGTCAGTAGTATTCACCTGTACAAGACTTTTTTTCCACCCACTACAGGGTGTACGAAAAATATAAAGTCGAATAAAATAAAATGAATTGTGTTAAATGGATATTTTATTTGACCAGATGTTCAAAATGCATTCCATTCTGTTGTAAGCAATAGTATAATCGATGTTCAAATGCCATTCTAACATTTTGGAACACATCTCTTGGAATATATCGGCATTCTGCATTTTATTTTATTCGACTTTATGTTTTCCGTTCACCCTGTAGTGGATGGAAAATAAGTCTTGTACAGGTCTGAGGTATCACAAAAGAGGTAGTGCCATTTGACATATCAAAGATGGAGTGTGTCGCGCCGACGGGGTGACTCATCCCTTTACTGAAGTATGGTGGTTCTAGTTCCCCCTAACTCTGTAGCATTTGTGCCAAACGACGTTTTCCTAACTGTTTTATTTAGCGAGATATTCGCATTGAAAGTTTTCAAATCTAGACCCTCGAATTAATGTTTTTCGTACACCCTGTAGTGGGTGGAAAAAAAGTCTTGTACAGGTGATTACTACTGACTGAGACCGTTCATTTGAGGTATCACAAAAGAGGTAGTGCCATTTGACATTTCAAAGTTGGGGTGTGTTGCGCTGACAGGGTGACTCATCCCTTCAATGAAATATGGTAGTTCTAGTTCCCCTTAACTCTTTAGCATTTTTGCCAAGCGGCGTTTTTCTAACTTTTTTATTTCGCGAGATATTCGCATTGAAAGTTTTCAAATTTACACCCTGTATACCTTAGACAAGAGTCCGGACACAGCTATACTTCTGTCCTTTTCTGTTTTCAAAATATGCATTGATGATTGAATAAAGGAATAAGACATAATATATATCGAGCTCTGTCTTTCCAATTCCCCTAGGATCAATGATTGTTAGAAAAAATTTTGAGGGATAGATTATTCGTCAAACCGTTCATAGCCGTACGTAGAACTGAGAAATAGGGCTATTTTGACTAGAATAACTATTATATAGATTTTTCAAATAATAAACAACAGGGTGTTCAAATTTCGAATCGATAATTTCCATAATCAATTCCTGAGATGGCTATTGCAAATTTTCGTCATCAGATATTCCTTCATTTCATCAGATATGAGAAAGATAAATGATAAGAAAGTGTTCTACGTGGTATACAGGGTGTCCAGAAATTATGCGCAAAAAATCAAGGGGGTGATTCTGCATGTGAAAACATGAAATTTATTCCATATACTTGGGTCCGGAAATGCATAGTTTTCAAGATACAGTGTGTTAAACTTCTTTGAAAAAATCGTTTTTTTATGAATATCTCAAATATCCTTCCACCGATTTTCTTGAAATTTGGCAACGATATTCTTTGTCATGAGGGTCTGATTTAACCATGATTTGAATTGGAATTGTGGAATCCAGTGGCGTCCCTGGGGCACCCTACCAACAATTATTGTCAATAAAATGTGCGCCACTGATTTTTTTAGATTCTTCATCTTCATATCCTGATGATTATCTAAAAATACAACATTTTGATCTCTTGAATTGTTTTGCTATTTTGCCGCGTTTCCGTGGAAAAAAATAAATACCAATTCATTGTATAAATTTGTGCAAAACATTGCTTCAAAAACAGGGGTGAAATTGAATGTGTGATCCATGTCTATAGACGTAAAATAAGAATGAAGATTCATTTTCTCCAAATATTTTATAATACATGTTTGACACATTTTGTATTATCGAAAACTACGCCTTCCTGCACCGAGAATACATAGTTCTCAATATACTGAGTATAGAGTGTGTCAAACATGTATTATAAAATATTTGAAGATACTTATTCCTCATTCTTATTCTACGTCTATGGACATGGATGTCACATTTAATTTCACCCCTGTTTTTGATGCAATATTTTGCGCAAATTTATACAATGAATTGGAATTTATTTTTTTTTTCACCAAGAAGCAGCAAAATAGCACAACAATTCAAGAGACCAAAATGTTCTATTTTTAGTTGGTCAATAGGTTATGAAGATACAGAATGCAAAAAAATCAGTGGCGCACATTTTATTGACAATAATATTCGGTAGGTTGCTCATCGGGACGCCACTGGATTCCAAGATTCCAATTGAATTATGGGTATATCAGCCCCTCATAACTAAAAATATTATGGCCATATTTCAAGAAAATCGGTGAAAAGACATTTGAGATATTCATAAAAAACCGATCATTTTTAAAAGTTTCAACACACTGTATGTTGAAAACTGTGCATTTCCGGACCTAGGTTCATATGAAATAAATTTCTTATTTCATTATGTAGAATCACCCCCTAGATCGTTTGCGCATAATTTCCGGACACCCTGTATAGCCAAGAAAATATAGTTGTTTTCTGTTGAGATATAAAAAAATAGAAGATATATAATTGTTTCAATATAATTTTAATTGTGTCGGTTTCCCACCTCTTCCTGCAGTCTACATTCACCTGTAAATTTTGAATTTGACCTGAATCAAAAACACCGTGGACTGATGACATAGCACATTGCAATTTCTCTAAATCTTCTGGTTTTGATTTCAAACTTTCAAACTGCGATCGTATCATTCAGTAATTCCCAATACGATGACGACGGAACTCTTTTTTGAACGTCTCTATTTTATAAATTAACGGCACAGCAGACTCTTTTCAATTCGAAATCCATCAGCTTAAAAGAATCTATATCAAAATGGGCCTGAAATTCATCTTTTTTGTACTGTTTTTTCAAGTAAAGAATATTCTCCTCACATATTTCGGATTTCTTGAAATTAATTTTCCATTCTGGACGTTTCATTGCATTCTTCCATGACATTATCTTCAAAGGATCATTCGGAAAATTGAATAACTTGAATCCCTTTCCTTATGACTTATCGAAATAATGTACGCAGCAGGACATTGGAATAATTTAAAATGCAAAATTTCGGCGGTCATAAAATTTCATTGACAGTGACAGAAATTCGAAATATTTAAAAAAAGCGGGCTTGACGACTCTAGTGTTTTGTCACATTGTCAGGTGGGCAAACCAAATGAAACAAAATATTAAAAACCCCAACGGCTGTCAGTTTTGTCTAAGGTATATACAGGGACTCTAGTTTGAACATGTTTGAATTACCAATTACCTGTGAACGCAATGAGCCGCGGTGAGTATCCATCTTGGATCTATGAGCGTGCCACCGCAAAGGTATAATCTCTTTTTGTAGGTGATGTAGAGCACCGCTTGAAAGGGGTAAGAATGGGGCAACACGTCAGCGCCCCCAATTATTCTCGGCTCCATCTTGAATACATTTTTCTTCAGATGGAGGAAAGAGTTCAAAGGGTCATCGTGTTCCTGAAATTATTATATCTACTCACTGAATCGAAAGTTGGCGTTTGCTTCCCCATTTGAGGAAACAATAAAGTTCTCAATTTATTCCCGCGGAAAAATATTAACTTCCAAGGATGGTGAAATCAATTGGCTTCAGCATGCGTCATTTGGCGTCGATATACCTATAAAATCCATGCAATCCAAGTAGTCAGTGTCTTATCACTATTTTTCAACAAGTTACAATATTATCCTTCTTTGATTCCAATGATATCATACGACGCTTCTTCACATTCTGAACGCAACTTTCGGATGCAGAGACACCATATATACATACATATAGGTGTCAAATTGATTTTCGTTCAAATGCCGTCAATCGTCCATGGCATACTAGGTGTACCTTTGTAATGCATAATGATTTGGATCGAGACCGCGTGAAGTAGAATTTGCTATTTATGTATTAAGAGCGTGTAATGGCACCTCAGGCCATAATAGTTATTTATGTATCAAGGGCGTAAAGTAGGCGTTTATGGCCTGCGGCATGAATAATGGCCCGATGGCGTTAACCGAGAGCCATTACACGCCGAAGGCTATAAACGCATTTTACGAACGTGATACATACAAGATTTGTGCACTAGGGTTTATTTCCCGAGTCACAAGTCATGACTAGATTTCAACAAACTACAATTCATATGTTACTCATACATTCAGTTTTCAAGAGAAGCGCAATGTTTATGATATACTTCTAATCAGAACTTTTTAATGCATGCAGTTACACAATCAATTAATTTATGTTGATAGAAGTGTAAATTTGACTTTCGATCAAATGCCGTCAATTAATTGTCCATGTTGGATCGATAGCAGATAGACCGCCTGGACCACAATTTCGAGAATGATGCCTAAAAAAAAAGGGGTTCGTTGATAAAATCTCAAACAGGATGCCCGGAAGGTCATGTCGTAAATGATAGAGCTGATAGAGTGAGCCAAACAAATGTTAGTACTTTATCTAAAAAAATGTATGTCGCACTTCGTTACGGAGTTATTCACCTTTGAAGTATGAATGAAAACAAATTTCCATGTATTGTATAACTTTCAAACGGTTGCCATGATATCAACGATATTCGAGTAACTGAATTAACTCATACTAATGCTCCTTCAGAATCGTAAACGGCTGTTCAGTGATTTTGCTGTATTGAAAATGGGACGATTTTTTTCCGATTAATGAAGACATTTTCGACAGAAGTGACTAAACTGACATTCTGCTCTCACCATTTGATTCCTTCATTTTCCTTCTACAAAAATAGTAGAGTGAAGTGGGGTAATATGGCAACATAAAATTCAAATGCTCACAATCTAACGACCATCGCGCCTAGCTGAAAGGCGAAGGAGCTTAAACAATATATTTATGTGTCTAGAGTCGCTTTTTGCCATATTCCCACACAGAAAAATATTACAAATAAAAATGCATAGTAATACCCTATTGCCATATTACCCCATATCATGGGTTATATGGCAACATGCTATTCTCGTAAGAAACAAACTATTTTATGAATATGAAAAAAAAAATTATTTTTCAGAACATAACATATATGGATTATAAAATCTTATAGCTCCAGAACTGTAGAGGTACTTGGTACTTGATCTGGAACACAATCTGCACAATACATGTTTGATGGGGTACATATCTGGTGAACCCAATGATCACATTTCACACCATTGCAACCAATCACAGTTTGGACCTCTTTCATCAACATAGTTTCCAGGGCATTGTGCACAATATTCTGATTCATCGTACTACAAATCTGACTCACCGCTTTCTATATTGTAGGCACTTCCGATTCTCTTTCTGATGAACTGGTATCAGGAATAGCACCACGTCTATTCTTGTGTGTACATTTCTTCTTCTTCTCTTTGTTCTCCTTATTGGCCTCATCTTTCTTCATTTTATCCTCTTTACGTTCGAGCTTTGCCGCTTCCTTTTTGCCTCTAATTTCTTTTTCTGTTTCGTTCCTCTGCGATTGGTTTTGGGCATGTGAGTAACTGAGCATGTTTCTTTTTTTTCTGACACCCGCTTGGACCAGGAATAACTTGAATTGGTACAGTCGCTGCAAATGATACGTCGTTGTTACCAATATTATTGATTTCAGCTTCATTAGGATCAACTTCATCGACATTGTTGTTGGCATCATCATCAGGAATAACAGAAGCATAATTTTTCTTTGCTGAGGTTTCCAGACCGCATTATTCTCATCAAAGTACGGGCAGGAATATTGTACGTACGGCTAATTTGGCGAACATATCCTCTACCATTTCTGAGATCTTCTTTAGACTATAAAGCTCTTACGTTTTTCCGAAAAAAAAAAAACTACGAGGCATCTGGAACAAAAAAAGGCAAGGGTAATACGCCGCTGCTCGGGGTATTATAGGCCGCAGTTGAAGAATCATGAGGCATAATACCCTATATTGCATTTTATGACAAATAAAATCGAAATGCATATTTATTAAACGTATAACGAAGTGTTCCGTCAGAATAAGTGAGGTTACGAATCATTCTTTGGCATACTCCTGTTAAAATTCGCCGAATCCACCTAGAACTTCCTCCACCACAATATATATAACTTAACATTGAAACATATTTGACACGGCTCTTACCTTTTTATTGATTATTTCACAGAAAAACTGATATTCTCAATTTCCTCACGATTCACCAGGACTAACACCCCTGATTATATACACTTGTGAATACTCAAAGCTAACACTGATATGGCTGAATAAACATTTTTGCAAAATGTTGACTTGCAGCGAAAATATCAAACTGCGGCATATTCACTCCTATTCACTCTATAACTTATTTTAATCGATATCTTGTAACGTTCTAGAGAAAATTCCAAAGGTAGGTACCTAATAAAAACTCAATTAACTGCAGTCATTGTCATAATTAACCTTATTATGAATTATTATGGATCAAACATTTTGAATCGCCTTGTATGATGGATCCATTTTATACGCTGATGAATTACATGCATGCATACTCGCATCTTGAATAAGTGAAAAAGTGGAAAAAAAGATAATGAAACTGAAATTTCAATTTGTCTACATCACAGAATCTCCTTCTGCACGACACGATTTTGACTGTATCAATCAATAAAACTGGTGAATTTTTTCAATAAAAATGAATGTTCGTCTTTAAATATCATACACCCTTTTTTGCACGCCTCTGAATTTGTCAACATGATGCTAATTAAAGGTATGGCACGTTTTCAACTGTAACGATCAATGAAACTGTTGAATTTTTTCAATAAAAACGAATTTTCATCTCTAAATATCATAAACCCCTTTTTGCACGCCTTTGCATTTGTCAACATGATGCTTATTACAATGATGTAATGATCAATGAAACTGTTGAATTTTGTCATCAAAAACGAGTTTTCGGATCTTAATATCATAAACCCCTTTTTACGCGCCACTGGTGTTGATTATCATCAGTAGAAATATCTCTTGTTGCAGTTGAGATGTTGGTCCTTTTTGTTCAACTGAAAACCGCCACATGTTGCACAATGATTATCAAATTCTAATTATGATTAAAATATTTCATTTACAAAGCTCGCACACTGCGAAATGATATTTGAAGACGAAATATTACCTGCAATTTGACTTCAGTCAAAATGAAAGCACATAACACAAAAAGTATTTTCATGGTTCTCTATGATGAATATTTCAGGCGAGTGGATCACTAATTACAAAAACACCACATAGCATAACATAGCAAATTGAGCATACTCATAAGGAATATAAAAATATAATTATATTATATGGTAGGTACTTATCACCTTGAGTCAGTATAATTATTTTATCTTTATTGACATTTTTTTATTTGCCATTTTTCTCATCCGATTCACAATTGTTCCGCATTGAACATAATATTATATTAGGTGTTTGTTCAATGATTATGGGTATATTTTATATTATTATATATTGGGGAACAAGAACGTTTTCATCATCTACTATAAATCAGGTATACTGATCTAGATGAATGAAACCCACAACTTCAAATCACAATTTTACGCCGTGGACTCTTGAGCTTGGAGTGAGTATCTTCATAACATAATGTTTCTGGATGGCGCCTGCAAAGTCATCAGGAGTTCGGATCCCCTCCTGCAAATGGTTAAAACCCATGAAGAGGCAGAAGTATAGGAGCTTTTCTTTTTAGGGCAGCACGTCGAGCAGCCGATGCATTATCTCTGATTTTCGACTCCGAGCGCGAGGTTCAGGACTCAGTAGCTGAGCTGGAGCCCGTTCGGAGAAAGGCCCGCATCAAAGCTGCAGAAGTAAGAGAGCTCCTGCAGCTTCACATGGATAAGCCCATGCATTTGGTCTTCTTCAAGATCATTGAAGACCGGGGCTTATTCAAATAACTGACTTTTGGTTTTCTCAAGTCAGGAGGACTCAAATCGGAAATAGAGATGTTCATCATGGCATGCCAGGATGGGATTTTCAACACTCTCTTGTCATGGGTATGAAGGTCCCTGACACAAATTGCAGGGCTTGCCGCAGGGCGCCCGAGACAATTATGCACCTGCTGTCTTCTTGCACGGTGTATGCAGTCTCGGTCTATATCCATAGACACAATGCGGCATTGCAAGTGCTCTACTATCAATTGTGGTACTCGTACGGAATAGACGAGACCCCAGTGCTGCCCTATGCTCCGGGGAATATTGAGAGGTGCCGAATCTATTGAAACTTCTCATTCCCCACCCTCAGGCAAATACAAGCTGACAAGCCTGATGTAGTCCTCCCCGACCCCGACCATCAAACCATCATCGAGTTTTCGGCGCTTGCCAAACCGAACATCGTTTTGAAGAAGGAGGAGAAACGGACTAAATATCGAGATCTTCTCTTCGAACTCCGCAGGATCTATACAGACCATACTGTGGAATTGGTCATCCTGATAATCGGCTCTCTAGGAGGCACACGACATACGCTGCTCTCGGAAATCCAAACAACCCAGCGTGCAACGATAAGGCACACATCCTGGCTAGTGGAATGCAGAAGGCCGTCATACTTGGATCATTGCGTTTACTCAGGGCACACGGTTCTTGGTCCCAGTGATTATTCACCCCACTGGCTGTGGGGAATAGATACTGGATTTTATCCAGCTCGACTCTGCGTGGCGTCGGAGGCCGCAGAGTCGTGACCAGTATAATATAAATTTAAATAATAATAATAATAATAATGATATATCTGTATTCATCTTTTGCAGAAAAACATTCAGACTTAACTGCCATGTCGAATAGGCGAAGTATCAGCATAAAGCTGTTATTCAACTCAACCCGAAAGAAATTACCTCAAAGATAGATATTCTAGCGAAAACAAGATAATAAACAATTGACAAAAAGTAATGTGGCACGTTAGATGACCAGAAGAGAATCAAGATGACCATATTTGATTGTGCAAGAACCTAATTATATACCCGAAAAAAAAAAAACATCAGTCTTTTCTTGAAGTTGCAGAAAGTATGAGATCTGATTTCCCTGGGCAGTGTTTTACAATCTACATGCGTTATATGAAAAACTACGTTCAAACATTGTGGTTTTGTGTTTTAAAATGACAATTGTAGATTCATTACGACTAGAAGATTGATTATAAATATGTGACAATGTTTTCAGTCGTTCGTAAAGGTATTCAGGTTTGCCTGCGGTCAAGACTTTATGCACTTGAGTCAGCAGATCCAGACTATCTTAGCTGATATGTGATCATATTTCCGTATTCCATAAAAAAATCGCGAGCAGGAATTTTGAGTACGTTGAAGGCGGTGGGAGTCAGTTGTTAATAATGCTGGACAATAAATACTGTCTGTCACAGTAAGATAATAAGAGAAAATTGAAGACTCGAAAAGTTTGACTTTGAGAATAGTGGATACAATATTTCCATATAAATACAACTGCCTCAAGACGTTGAATGATGATTGACATTGATAACCCACATGTTTTTTAATCTTCGATCTGGGTCCACCCAAAGCCCGAGGTTTTTGTATTCATTCACGATAGGAAGAATATGATCACCTACATTGATTTTCAGATCAGTTGCAGACTCTCTCGCTTTCTGAGGGCCAAATAGCATCATCATAGATACCTTAGAGTTGAGCTTCAGGTTGTGTGCAAATGCAATGTCAAACAGAGAATTCAAATCTTGATTTATTGGGATTTGTGACTCCTTCAAATTAGTAGGCGTGAAAGAAGAATACACCTGCGTGTCATCAGCATAAAAGAGTACTAAAAAGTAACTGATGAATTTATTGAAGTCTGATATATACAAATAAAATTGAAACGGACCCAAGATAGATCCTTGAGGTACCCCAAATGTTACAGGTGAGGCCTCAGACACCTCCCCATCTAAAAATGACTCTTTGTATCCGATTGGTTATCTAATTGGTCATGAGATTCTTTGCTGCAGGAGCGAATATTGAGAAAGTGAGTTTTTCACACAGTACTTTGTGATCAAGGATGTCAAATACCTCACTAAAATCCAACAGTAGCAGACAAGTTATATTGCCATGGTCCACGGCCCAAACAATGTCATCAGTAATTGGATGGAAAGCAGTAGTAGTGTTGTGTTGAGATTGAAATTCTACTGAACTGATGTGATGAGCTTTTGTTATTCTATAAGATGTTTCATTTGATCTTTCAATGTCATTGCTAGGCTCTAGATAGAAATGGTAGGATGCCTATGGGTCCGAGGTCTGTGAAATCAGAAGATTTGTTACATTCCGCCAGTGGTATCACTAGATCTTGTTTCCATTTAGAAGGGAATATACCAGTGGAGATGATAGAATTGAAAATTAAGGTTATGTGAATCAGTATTCAGTATATCTTCTTCAACTAGAAATGTAATTTTGATCGAATGAAAATGTCATCAAATCCACCTGCATTGCTTTCGATTCGAAGTAAATGATTTTTGAGCAATTCAGCGGAGATAGGTGGAAATTGAAAATGAGTTTCAACAGGTACCTACATCATCGTATGATGATGGACATTTGATTGTTTGAAGAATGTTTTTGAATATTCTTTTATTATGAATGCTTTGGTTTCAGGTCCTATTGAACTAATAAATTTGTCGAATCAGTACTTAGACCAGCCCTGCGTTAGTGGAAATCAACTCGGGCGAGATTGCCAAATCTACATAATCTCTATAATCATTTGAGGTTTAATTGTTATATTCAGCAGATGAATTATCGAGTTGATTAACTCCATGCATATATCATTATGAAGCTTTGTTGCAAATTGGATGATGATTATATCTATGTGAATAGAGAAACTTTTTATTTGGATAATTCCTAGCATAACATATCACAGGATTCACTTGAGTGTATGTTATCAATCAGCAGGGTGTGGGGCGATAAATTGAATGGATGAAAGTAAACAAAAAGAAATGAAGAACAACGAGGTTTCCTGAAGTTCCTTCGAATATCCGATCCCAAAATGTTAGCTCTCTTCAAGCTCAGAATTGAATCAATGAATCTGTGTTATTAAATAAATATTGGTTTGCTTTTCTACATAACCAAAAATTCATCTTTTCACTAGAGTTCTCTCTCCTTGATATGTTGATTCTGAGCTGAAATATCTAGGTTTCATTGATTACAGAAAAGATCGATTAACAAACCTCTGAGCTGTCGAATATGTCTTTGACAAATTTGATGATACGTTTGATCAATAAACCTCTGAGATGATGCCATGTCTAGGTGATTTCGATGGGAGACACGTTTGATAACAGACTTCTGAACTGTGAAATATTTCGTTGATGTATTTGAAGACAAGTTTGATTAACAAATTCCTGAGCTGCCATATCTGGGTAATTTTGAATGAAAACACGTTTGATTAACAAACTTCTGAGCTGTCAAATATGTCGTTGACAGATTTCAGAACTTGTTTGAATAACAAACCTAGGTTAGGCTATGTTTTTGTCTTGAGTGTTACCTTAATTCGATTGCTTTCCACCACAATCTAAGCTTCAATACCCATGTATGGAACACAAAATATCGCAGTTCATCAACACTATCTTCTACAATTCAATAATGAAAAACTTGACGTGGAAATATTATAGCGGTGACAGTACAGAAAACTGTGTGCATGATGTGTGCTGCCATCGGTCATAGAACAACGAAACTACGGCCCGTGCGCATATTGTATTTACCTCTAGCTTATAGTGTGTCCATTTAGTGCGTAATTCTTCGATATCTCGAAATCAATTATCACAAGAGAAAAACCTTGGAGAAAAAACTTTTTCAGTTACTAAAGTTGCTCATTTCGAAAATATTTCCAACAATACTGGGTGTTTTATAAAAGCGGGGCAACTCGAAGACGAGTTTTTTCAAATGGAACACCCAGTATTGTTCATTCGAAATTCATTCCGCTGAAGTTCAGCTCTACATCGCTGTTAAAAAAATTGAATTTGGTTGCGGCGTTGCCAAGTTATAATTGATGAACCCATTTTCACTACTATTGAAGGGTCATGTTCAATTGGGTATGGTATATTTATTTATTGAAATTCCGAAAATATTTTTGGCATACAGTAGTAGCAATGTCTCACGTATACCAATTCAGTAATCTTGCGAGATAATCCTCTACAGGGTGCTGAAATTTACATTCTGAATATTGTAAGATTCAGACGACGATCATAAGAATTTTTCAAATGGAACACCCTGTATTTTTCATCACGGATTGATTCCGACATCATTCGCCTTTTCATCGCAGAAAAGAAAATCAAAATCGG